GGAAGGAAGGAGGGAAGGAAGGAAGGAAAGAAGGAAAGAAGGAAGGAAGCAGGGGAAAGAAGGAAGGAAGGCTTGCTGGGAAAGGATAGCAAGAAATTAATTAATTCAAGATTCATTCAACAAACCTTTGTTAAACACCTTTAGACTATCATTAAAGGCCATAAGGTCTTCTGCCAGGTGCTGGGGGAGAAACAAAGATTAAAGATATTGTTCCTGCCCTCAAGGAGCTGCCAGTCCAATAGCTGAGAAAAGGAAATAAATGTAGAAAGAAACAGGTGCCAAAGAGAAGTGTGAACAAGGTTCTACAAAAGTCTGTAGGACAGAGGGATCACCTCAGTTGAGAGAGGGATCAGGAAAGGCATTCCTGAAAGGATGATTTTGCACTGGGCCTTGAAAGGTGGGAGGGTGGAGGGTGTTAGGTTGGTGGGGAGATGTCCTAGACTTAAGGGTCTACTTAACCCCTCAGCTCTGTGGTATCCCATTCCTTCACACAAATTGTGTCTGTGGCGTTATGATAATTATGAGAACAATAACGACTTCCATTTATGCAATGCCTTAAGGTTGAGAAAACAACAAAAAAAGATGGTTGACAACTTTATGGAGGGGGGTGGACAAGAAATGGTTTCAAAATAACTGCCCTTGAGCTGAGGAATTTGTGCTGTCTGGGATGGTCAAGGTGACTGGGCCAAACGCCTGTTCTCAAACTCACCACAAGGTGAGAAAACTAGCCAACTCCTCTGACTTTCAAAGCACAAAGATGGAAATAGATCATGGAGACAGAATGAAGACAAAAACTCCCAAAGTCAGACCTGGTCCCTCCATCTGGTTAAAGCGTCTTGAGCTATATAGTAAGTCAGTGGGCACATGGGACCAGAGAGTGTAGAAGGGTATTTCTGCTGCTTTTTATTACTGCTTCAATTGATGTAAAAAACCCAAGCACTTCTTGCCTTTTCAAAAGGGTAAAATTCCATCTCAAAGATTAGAGGAAAAAAAATCCACTTTTGATAGTTCTATAAAATTATGTGTAGATATTTATTAAAATGAAGGATTATTAGATACTGTCTTAAGATCTTAATTTTTGGAGGTGGGGAGCTGTGAGAAAAGTGAAATATTTTTAATCTCAGACTTTCTATTACTCAGCCCAGGGAAACATTTGTTATATTTTCAGTTGGAGTGAGACTGGCCATCCTTAAGCCTTATCTGCCCTCATGGTCTCTCTGAAACCTTCTAATAATAATAATAATAATAATAACTAGCACTTTAAGATTTACAAAGTGCTTTACATGTATTTTCCTATTTGATCTTTATAATAACTCTGGGAAGTAGGTACTATAATTGTCCTCATTTTGTTGATGAGGAAACTAAGGTAGATGGAGGTTAAGTGACTTGGCCAGGGTCACCTAGCTAGTAAGTGTCTGAGGCAGGATTTGAACTCTATCTGGCAGGCTAATACTGACTTTCAAGTTCAGCACTGTGCCATGCCCAGTCCTGTAGAGGACCAGACACTTTCGGGAGAAGATGCTGAAAGTCAGGAAAAATGACCAGCCTATGCCAAGTACTCCTGTAATATTCTCCTTCTGAGGGTCTGTCCAGGTCCTAGCTGTCACTCAGTAAAACTATCCCACTCTTGTATTTGTTGTTTTTGTCTTTTTTTTTTTTGGTGAGGCAATCAGGGTTAAGTGACTTGCCCAGGGTCACACAGCTAGTAAGTGTCATGTGTCTGAGGTCAGATTTGAACTCAGATCTTCCTGACTCCAAGGCTGGAGCTCTATCTAGCTGCCCCTGTGTTGGTTGTTTTTGAGGACTCACAATCCAGTTGTTCCCTGAGGGTCCCATAGACTGGATAGGGTCTGGGCTCACTGCCTCCATGTTGTGAGTTGTGGAGGTGTGTAGTATTGGCTCCTCTCCCAACAGGGATTGTAAAGATAACACCCGGAGTCTCTTGAAAGAAGCCTTATAACAGTGTCCCCTGTTCCTCCTCCCTCCTTCAGATAAATGGGAGGGAGTGAGGGGAGTTGAATAGGACTGTGAAAAAAAGGGGAAATGACTACTAAATGAGAAAGCAAATATAGAATGTATTAGTACTTGTGATGCAAAGCAGGGATGCCAACCCTACATAAATACCTCCATATTCCATATATATGTACATGTACAATAATGTAATATATACAAATGTATTATACATGTATTTTGACTCCAAGGCTGGCTCACTCTATCCATGAACAATGCTGCCCCTTTCTTATTCATACAAAATAATACAAAATTCCCCACTGCTTTTAATCTTCCCTTTATTCTACCACCCAGTACCCCTAATAGTTTGTAGAGATCCCTCCATCTCTGGAGTTGGAAGTGGCTTTCATGTAGCCTCATGAAGGGCCCTATGAACCACTTCCTCTGTCAATATACCTTCTTTTACCAAAAACTTGGCATTATCAGGGACTATTTTTTGCTTTTCTTCGTATCTCCAGCTCTTAGCATAGTACCTGGGCAAATAGTTAATAAATGCTTGTTGACTTGACTTGAATTTATAAGGATGTGTGAGAGAGATAATGAGACGACAGTAAAGGAATTGCTTTTCTATTCTCTCTCAGTCTATTCTTTACCTCATCAATATCAGAGCAGGTAATCCCATTTCCCGTATATCCCTCTGGACAGGGACCACACTGAAATCCATCTCTGGTGTTGGTACACCTGACTCCTCGGAAACAGGGGTTAGAGTCACACCTGCGAACCAGGGCTGCTGGAGTTGGAAGGGTGTTAGGCGTTGGTGACTGGGCACTGAGGGGGCCTGAAAAAAAGTTAAAAAAAACATCCAGGGCTGTTCCCTGACCCAACCAATCCACATTCCAGTGATAGCTGTCAATTTAGGAAAATTGCGACCTCCAAAGAATTCACGTTGTGGCTGACCCAAGGGGCAATGAAAAGATGCATAAGGGGCGTAAGTAATTTGTAACATACTTCCAGTGATAACTTTGGCACAAGAAATAACATGGGATTTGGGACTGGTACTCTGATTTCATTGGTGTAGACTGGGCATGGAGTCAAACTCAGGTAGGGGGCCTCTAAACCATATATAAGTATCCCTGAGTGCCATTCATTGACTCAGAAAACCACATGTTAACATTATCTATTTCTATTGTATTTTGGTTTATTTCATTAAATATTTCCCAATTACATTTTAATTTGAGTTGGCTGCACTCAGGAGTGTTGTGGGTGGCAATGCTGCTCCTGGCTACATGTTTGACACCTCTGGTGTAGAGGAGTCTGAGAAGAATGCTTCTACCAATGCAAATTAACATTCTACACCTTTTCTTGGTGTTAGACTATCTGCAAAAGAACTTCAGGATGTCACAGATGCTGCAATGTGCCGTAGGTGGATGTTTAATGAAATACAAAGACAAATTTGGCTTTTCCAGGGGACTTTCCATCCCAAAGTATATTAAAAGGCATACAGTCTTAGAAAGTTGTCTGGGGGCATTTAGAGGTTAAATGACTTGCCCAGGATCACACAGCCAGTAAGTGTCAAAAGTGAGAGTTGAACCCAAGTCTTCCTGACTCTGAGGCCATCTCTTTATCCACTATACCAAGTCGCCTCTCTGGTTTAAGGGATATTATTCAAGAAATTCATGACTGGAAAAGGAGGTGGGCTGGTTATGCAATAAAAGCAAGGATTACCAAGTTCATTACTGGTACCCAAGAAATGCAAAATGACCTAGATGAAAGCTGCTAGCACATCTATAGGAGAAAATGGAAGAATCACTGAAGATGAGGAGGCATGTACAGGTTGCTATTTGCATTGATGAAGGGAATATTCACATGGGATCACAGGTGTGTTGAAGAATTCTAGTAAGTATGGTCCTTTTTTGTTTAGAGCTGTGGTTTCATCAGTGTAGGGAAATTCCCTTCATGTGAGAGAAACTCTTCTGAAATTTCTGCTTCCCTGGATTGTTGTCTAGGAAACCAAGAAGTTAAGTGACTTAGCCAAAGTCAAACAGCTAGTGTGCATCAGAGGCAGGATTTGAACTCAAGTCTTCCATGACTCCAAGGCTGGTCTTTCTCCACTACTCCACATTGTTGTTTTTTTGGGGGGGTGGTTGAGGTAATTTGGGTTAAATCACTTACCCAGGGTCACACATCTAATAAGTGTCTGATGCCAAATTTGAACTCAGGTCCTCCTGACTCCAGGGTTGGTACTCTATCCACTGTGCCACCTAGCTGCCCACCTATACTATTTTTCAAGTAAATCCTTACTTCTCTTTCTTTTTGGTAATGAGGAATTTTATTCTACTCACAAAAAAGAATTTTCCTCTCAATTAACTCTTCCCCTGGACTATGTGCCAAGCCCTGAAGCTTCAGATCCACGAGGACTCCTCCAACTCTTGAACAACAACAAATTCAAAAAGCATTTTCGCTAATTGGCTCCTAGGATGCATCTTATTTATCTCATTAAATTAGTCAATTACGAGAAAAACACTTACCACATGCCTGACATTCAGCGATGGTGTTTCGCAAAAAAGAGGTTTCTTTGACCTTTAGAAACAGAAAGATGATTGAAAAGCGTTATGAGACTTGCAATCCAGGGACTGAAGCATCTCAGGGAAACGGTGGTAAAGACTCTGGGCATTGGCTAAGCTGTTGCCTGTGAGATTTGTCTTCCTGTCTGGTGCCTTGTTCCTTAAGTTCAAGAACCATTCAAAATGGTTATAGATTTAGAGATGGAAGAGACCTTAGAGGCCATTGAGTCTAACTCCTTCATTTTACATATGAGAAAACTGAGGTACAGAGAAGCTAAATGATTTCCCCAAAGTCATACAGCCAGCAAGTGTCTGAAGCAGAATTTGAACACAGGCATTCTTGACTTCCAGTCCAGTGCTTTGTCCAACATGCCACTTAGTTTCCATAGAACCCTACAATGATGGAGCTTTAAGGGGACATCTTCTAGCCTGTGGCAGTAATATGCCTCCACCATCTCTGACAAATACAAAGGGTATTTACTAATACTATTGGGAATGGGTCATGCTCAAAGGTTTATACTCTACCTGCTGTCTCAGGAGGTCTTTTACTTCTCCCAGTATTTTGTTGAGTTGCGTCATCTGACCCAAGACTTGCCAATTTATGTCTCCTGCTGGAATACCAAGGTGAAAAACCAGTGAGCTAGATTAAGAATGGTCATTTTACATGGCCCTTTGATGCCCATAGACTTGACCTAGACCAGAGAGCTCCCCAGAGAAATGGCAAAAGGCCAAAGATTAAAATACACAAGGACTCTGGATTAAGTCTATGCCAATTTTCTGACTTGCTTAGGTAATCATAATGAAGAGGATGATGATATCAATTATAATAATGTAGACAGATGAGAAAAAATGAGTTAGACAAAATTCATCCAAGTTTTAGAACTAAATCAACAGTATTTGTAATTCTAATTCAATATTTACACTCAGCCTTGATCTCAGTAAAAATGGAGTCAGTCACCTACATTAATCCCACTGGGCTGCTGCAACCAAATCTCTAGATATCATTTCAGGGATGTAGTCAATCAATCAATAAGCATTTATTAAGCACCTACTATGTTCCAGGCACAATGCAAGGTGTTGGGGATACAATTACAAAGAACAGAAATTAAAGGGATGTTAAACAGATTGTAGTATATGAATATAATGAAATATTATCATGGCATAAATAATGTGAAAAAAGATGTTTACAAATAGCCGTGGAAAGATTTGTGTGAATTGACAGAGTGAAGTGAGCAGAATGAAAACAATTTATACTATAAATAACATCAATATTATAAAAATGAACACTTTTGAAGGTTTGTATGAATTGATGAAGAATAAAATGAACAGAAACAGGAGAACTATTTATACAATAATATCATTATAAAAACAAACAACTTTGAAAGCTGTAAGAATTCTGATGAATGAAATGACCATCCAAAGTACCAGCAAACCAATGATGAAGCATGCTTTATGCATCCTGGACTAAGGGTACAGAATGAGACCCATTTTTCAGATATGACCAATTAGTGAATTTATTTTGCGTAACTATCCATTTTTTGCTACAAGGATTTGTTTGTCTTTTTTTTTAATGGGGTAGGGAGTGTGAGGGAGAAAAAAATAGAATTCTGTTAATTTTTTAAAAATCTAATTTAAAAATATTTTTAAAAGGAAGGAAATAAGCATTTATTAAGTGACTACTATGGTCCAGACTGTGCTAAGTACCACAAAAATATTATCTCATACATAATATAATACATACATGTAAATATGATCCTCACAACAATCCCAAGAGGCTATTTGAGGCAAAGAGAGGTTAAGTAACTTGCCTAGAGTCACATAGTCAGTAAATGTCTGAGGCAGGGTTGAATTTAGGTCTTCTTGTCATTAAGCCCAGCACTCTATCCTCTGTGACACTTAGCTACTTCTGGCAGCCATTTAAAACATACACGACATAAATATAAAGTGAATAAATATGAAGTAGTTTATATTTATTATTATTATAATATATATTATATATATATGTGGGAGAGTATTGTGTATGAGGTATAGAGAGAAGGCCAGTTGGGTTCAATTGAAGAGGGAAGGAGGGGTAGCCATGCCCAAGGATCCTGTAAAGCTAGTTTGAGGCAATAAAGCTAAACAGAGTTTATATTTTGTATTGGAGGTGGTAAGAAGCCAATGGAACTCAATGAATAGGTGAGTTACATGATCAGAGACATATTGAGGTAAGTTAAGTGTGAAGGATGGTGAGAGCCTTGAGGCAGGGGATCCAATTAAGAAGTTGTTGTCCATCCTTCTCTGTCTCTCTCTTTTTTTTAAGGCAATTGGGGTTAAGTGACTTGCCCAGGGTCACACAGCTAGTAAGTGTCAAGTATCTGGTCTGAGTCTGTATTTGAACTCAGGTCCTCCTGACTCTAGGGCCAGTGCTCTATCCATTGTGCCACCTAGCTACCCCTCCATCCTTCCTTCTTAAAGAGGACAATGACATTAGGAGGGTGATGTCTTGATTTGCAAGTGAATTGGATTCAAGTGAGAGAGGGCTGTGCAAAGTCACCAGCCTCACTCTCTCCTTTTCATCCACCTGGGTCAAGTGGAAAGATATAGATCAGGATGACTGGAGATGGCCCTGAAAGCGGTGGGAGACCTTGGCGTTTTTAAGGTAAGGTCTTTCCTAGGTCTCAGTTTATCTGAGGCAACACCCAGTGATTTAAGGATAGGTAAGGATCAAGGCAAAAGATGGCCAACCTTGCGTTCATAAAAGAATCAATCTAGGAGGGGAAGACCCTCAGGGTTTCTGGCCAGAACAGAAACAGTTGCTATTTACACTCACTCTGAACCAACAAAACCTGCAAACAATGAGCAAGTGAGTTTTGGGCTGGGGCCTATTATTGGCCAATTGGTGAGAGCCAGAGTGATTTGGGTTTGAAGGCATAGAAATAATTTAGATGAGAGGTGATAAGGGCCTGAATTTAGTTGGTGGCTTTGTGAGTGGAGAGAAGACTACAGATTCAATCGATGTTTAGAGGCAAAAATGTAAGATTTGACAACTGATTGGCTATGTAGTGATTAGAGAGAATAAGGAGTTGGAGTAGCTTGCCTTGTGAAGCTGTGATTGGACTGGAGCATCTCTAGTGCACCTTCCCCCCCCCATGCCTACGGTGACTCCACAGACTGGGGAGGGGGCATACCTGAGCTTGAGGAGGGCACGTGGTCACTTTGCTGGAGGAAGCATTCTTGGAGGCTGGCAACCTGGAACAGTGAACCTCTCACAACCAGTTTTAGTTCTTCCAAAGTATCCTGGCAGAGGAAACATTCATGTCATTGATTTCTGGCATAATTCAAAAAGAAGCCATACTCGGTCATGATGTGGTAGCCCAGTGACCGCAGGCCGTGATTAGAGCCTCATCTCGTGGGCAGGAGGAGTGTTTCAGGGAACATGCCACCGTTGCTGTAAGGACAGGCACACCAGGCAAAATGCCTGAGGTTTCCCATCCAGTGAAAGAGGAGGCTTTAAGGATTTGGACAGTGTCCGTCCAAGGGAGTGAAGGCCCACGCCCAGAATATTTGCAGGGAGATAAGAGGAACTTCCTCCTAGGGAAGGGAACGTGGTGTAGTGGAAGGAGCAGCGGAGGCAGTCTAGAGGACCTGGATTCATTTACTAGTTACATGTGCTCCTGACCATGTTGCTTAATCACTCTGAGTCTCAGTTTTCTCAACTGTAAAATGGGGATGATAATAGCACCTACCTAATGGGGTTTTGGTAAGGATCAGCTGAGATGACATCACCTTCATTTCCAGCTATATCTTCCTAATCTCACCTAGGGAGCTAGTAGCAAAGAATGCCAAAATCACTTTGTAAAACAGTTAGGTACCATAGCAACTTTAGTTATTATTAGAACAATTGGAACTAAATAACTGTGTAGGAGGAGCTTTGATTGAGAGGAAGATCGTACAATGCAAACATTTGGAGTCATAGAATCTGGGTTCATATCCTGACCTTACTATTTACTTCCTGTGTGACCTTGATCATCACCTAACCTCTCTAGGCCTGTTTCTTCACCTGTAAAATGAGGGGATTGGCCTAGATGACCTCTAAGGCCCCTTCCAGTTTTAGATACTATGTTGGGTATATACATGTATATATACCTGTTGGGGACTATGTTATTGTTGTTCAGATGTTTCCAACTCTCCATGATCCCATTTTTATTTTTTCTTGGCAAAGACACTGGAGTGGTTTGCCATTTCCTTCTCCAGCTCATTTTACAGATGAGGAAACTGAGGCAAACAAGTAAGTGACTTGGCCAGGGTCACACACCTAGTGTCTGTCACATTTGAACTCATCTATCTTCCTTACTCTAGACCCAGCACTCTGGGCACTCTGGCGCCACCTAGCTGCCCTGCTGGGGACTATGGGGAAATGCAAAATAGCAATCTGGGTAGCAAAGGGTAAGATAGCCTGGGAACCACTGAGCTAAAGAAACCTGCACATTGGGGACTGAAAGTGACTAAGAATTTGAAATAGATTTTTGGGAAAGAGTTACTTAACAGTCCGTTTCCTTTCATTTCCCAAAGATTTTGTTTTCTTTGGTCTTTCAATGAAGCTTTCCTTCTTTAATATTGTGAACTACCAATTTGCAAACGGAGAACTGGGCTCAGCTTGGCTGTGGATGTGGGGAAGTACCATGCACAAATTTTCCCTGAGTTTTCTGGTTGGGTTTATGAGCCAGAGATGTAAAGAATTATCCAAAGTGTACTTGGGTCTTTCATGCTGTGAGAGTCTCAAGGGTTATTTTAGTTTTATTCTTTTATGCTGCCTACATGTTTAATGGAGGAGGTTTATAGAATAACAGACAGAGGCATAATTGTGCTTCTGCTAAGAGACAAGGATGCTCTGGTGGTTTGGAGGACTCCTCCTTCAGAAGGCAGTTGAGTAAAGAAATCCTGTAGAAATTCAGTTTTTTAGGAAGAATATTTATGAGGGTCTCCCTTTCCACTCCTAAGTACTAACTTCAAGGAATGTTGACATCTTTAGGCTGGTGGACAATGACCTCAGATTTCTTCAGTGATATAATTATTGACTTCCAGGTTAAATGGTTTGACTCATCCTGGCATTTTGAATAACCATTAATTTCCTACAGTCCCCATCTTCCTGAGCTTCTTCACACAGTTAGGCATTGTCTATTCAGACAGTCTATGCATTTAAATTTTCTTGGAGTTTTCCCTGAATATTGTCTTCTGTTGTTCAAGAATATATTTGACCACAGAGTAAGAGTAATAATTTTTATGCTGGGTCATAGGATTATAGGACCATAAGTTTATAGGAGAAGATCATCAAGTCTTACCAACTCATTTTTACAGATGAGTAAACTGAGGCACAAAGAGGTTAAGTGATTTTTGTCTAAGATAGATAGACAGCTAGATAGTTAGAACATGTCGGGCACTGTGCAAAATCCACCCAGTTACCATGTGGCACTATAAATGGCAGAATTGGAATTTTTTGTTGTCTTTGTAAATGGACAGCCCACAGATCAAAGAATCACAGGAACATAGTTGTAGGGCTGCACAGGACCTTACAGGTCTTCTATGTATCTCTGTAACCATGCAAGATCTATATAAAGCCTTTATTTCTACCCATTTTTAATGTAAAGTAAAAATTAGCCAAAGCAAAGTTGAAAGATAAAAAAAAGTGAGAGATTATTACCTCTCTCTCTCTCCCTCCCTCCCCCCCCTTTCCGAATTTATACATAGAACTGTTTGCAGACAATTTCCTCTTTTATGGTTATGGTTATGTGGAGAAACTGAGGCTCAGAGAGATTAGGTGATTTGATCACAATCACATGGGTAGTAAATGGCAAAGCTCAATTTGAATCCAGATCCTCTGGATCCAAATTCAGTACTATGCATGATACAATGGTTATGTAGTCAATTGGAAAAGATACTGTAAAGTAGATCTTGGGAGCTTCCTCCCTGTTAGAAGTTAGAATCTCCATCGTTACTACGTTTACTAAGTTTTTTGGTGTTTTTTCCAGCTCTTTGCTTTTGGTTGGTGATACACAAAATCCATGGACAAATTACTGTGGTGTGGCGTCAGCCCATGAATCTACCTTTGAAGGAACAGAGGCTGCTCTACTAACCTGTGCTTTCCTCTGGAATGTCCTCAGTTCAACAGGCTCAGAACTGTGAAAGAGCCTAGAAAATGCCCTGGGGAGATCCTGGATGGTGTCCACCTGGTTACAGTCTAAGTAGAGCTCCACCGAGCTGGACCCTCGGTGAAAACTGCTCAGTCGAAGGATCATCTTGTGGCGCTTGCCATCAGCTACCTGGATGTTGTTGAAGACCACCAGGTGTATCCTCCCATCAGCCTTTAGGTAACGGAGGATGGCTGGAATAAAGCACAAGTTAATGATGGGGAAGAGAAGCAAGAGAGAGTATCCAGGGGAATACTTCAGTATCAGTCAGAGATGGAGGGATTATAGGGACATTGGTTATCCTCTTATATTCAACCAAAAAGCCCACCCACAAGCTAACAATCTGTTAAGTCTAATGAGATTGTATGATTTTAGAAGGCAGAAGCATGCCTCCACCTCTTGGCAAAGAAATGATGGAACTGAGGTGGAGAATGAGGCATACATTTTCAGACACTGTAGTATTTTGTTTTGTTTTGTTTTTTGTTTGACTATACTTATTTATTATGAGAGAGGTTTTCTATGCAGGAGGTGGTGTGGGTAGTGAGAGAAATGATTCCCCCCAAAAAGTAAGGAAAGACTGTCAATAAAACATCAAAAAATCTGGAAATTCAGACAACGTAGAAACAAATAATATCAATAAAATTGTATTTGAAACATAAAAAATGCAGAGAGGAAAAGAAAAAGTTCAAAAGAAGACACAAACAGGGCAACTTTGTTACTACCATGTTAAATTTATTATGAACTTAAAAACTGTATATAACAGAAGTTCATAGTTTCATATACAATCTCTTTTTTTGTTCTTTGCATATCAAAATTAAGATGGAGTTAAGTTCCTAATAAAACAATTTTAAAATAAAATAAATTCACTACTCCTTGCCCCACATCCAATCTAATGAGGCTGTAAATTGGGAAAGGGCTAAGTCTTCTATTTCTTTATACCTTCCAACCTGCGTAACACAGAGCTAGGCAGCATTTTGTAAGTACTTGTTGATTTTCCATAATATTTTTTCATAACCCATTCCATGTTTCTTGCTTATACTTTAATTTGCTCTTTCATGATACAGTTTAAGCCAAGTTCCACCTACTGATAGAACTTTCTAAAATTTTTCGTGATAGATCTTGTCTTTAACATCACTTTCACTTCCTTTTTTAAAAAAATTACATTTTCATATTTTTATTGTGAACGTAACAACCATAAATTACATTTCAATATACAAAGAACAGAAAAGAAGATTGTATAATAAATAGAACTTTTGTTGTGTACAGTTTATTTTTAAAGGAATAGACATATATCAAATTTTACAAAGTAGTAACAAAACTGCTCTGTTTGTGAGCCTTTCTGTACTTTTTTTTTGTTTTCTTTTGGTTACTCCTCCTGCCCATACTTGGTGTTACTTTGTAACAAAAGAGAAAAAGGAAAGAGGGGAAAAAAGGTAGTTCAGCAAAACTAACACTTCAGTCAAATGTAACATTCTATGCTCCACATCCATTGTCTACCATCTCTATAAAGAAGAAGAGAAGTACCCTTTCTCATGTGTTCTTCAGAGCAAACTTGGTCATTATAACACTTCAGCTTTTAGTTTTGGCTTTTTTTTTTGTCTTTCCAGTTAGATTGTTGTAGCCATCGGGCATATTGTTTTCCTGGTTCTGATTACTTCACTTTGTATCAGTTCACACAAGACTGACAGTTTTCACTGCAGAATTTTATCTCAAAATTTTTGCCAAAGCTCCAGTTCTGTTTTTTCAAATGCCTCCTGGGCAGCTGTCCCTGAGGTGCCCAGTGGTGCCTCAAACTCAACAGGTACAGAATTGAAAGTTTTATTCCCCCTCCCCAAACCTGCCTGGTTCCAAACTACCTTATTTCTATTAATGGTGCCACCCTCTCCTCAGTCACTCAGGCTCCAAACCTTGGTGTTATCTTGGTGTCCTTCCTTTCCCTCACCTTCCACATTGAATCAGCTGCCAAGTCATGTGGATTCTACCTCCACGATTCCTCCCTTTCCTGCTTTCTATTCATGCTGTCACCATCCTAGCTCAGACCCATGTTCTTTATCTTCTGGACAACAGAAATAATGTGCTGACTGGTCTCTGTGCCACCAGTCTCTCCTCTGTCTATCCTACCTTTCATTCCACTCCCAAAGTAATCTTTCTAATGCACAAAACTGATCAGGTCAGTCTACCATTCAAAAATCTTTGGTGGTTCCTCATGCTAAGAATCTGGGTTTGTAACTCCCAGCTCTGCCACTCATTAGGTGACCTTGGATAAATCATTTTGCCTTCTCTGGGCCTCAGTTTCCTTCTTTGTAAAATTAAGAGGCAGGACAAGTTGACTTCTAAGGTCCCTTCAATCTATGATCCTCTAACTTAAAGAATGAATTATTAAGTTCTCACTCTGGCATTCAATGCTTTCTATAATCTGGCTTCAATCTGCTTTTGTGACTTTCTTTCCCCCTTTACTCTTCATTCAGTCCATGAGTCAGTGCGACTGAGCTCCTGTTTCTGGTCATATCTTGCCTCCTCCCACCTTGGTGCAATTGCAGCATGATTTTTCCCAAACTGGGTATGGACTACCCCCACATATCCAGCTGTCAAAACCCAATTTAGATGCTGTCTCCTCCGCAAAGCCTTCTCTGATTTTCCCTCTGGTGAAGCTGCAATTCTCAAATCTCTCATTCCTCTTGTTTTAAATTAACCCATATATTTGCCCCATCTTGACTTGTATGATAATTGTTTATATACATGATTCTTTCCCTCAATAGACTGTGAACAACTGGAGTACAAAGCATGCCTGCCTGCTTTCTTCCCTCCCCCCTCTTTCTACTTTCCAGCACTGTTGTGAGGACAAAATACAATAATAAAAATGTAACATTTTGCCAACTTTGAAGTGTGATATCACTGTTAGCTACGATTACTGTGCTGGGTGCTGGAAAGTAAGTGCTATCATTCCCATTTTATAGATAAGGAAAC